AGACAGTAAGAGAGAAAGTGAAAAAAGCACCATAACCCCCTGGGGAGATGGCCATGCCACAATCCCTTCTCCTCCATTCTCCTCCTGGGATCTTGGGCATGCACACACATGTGCCCAGCATAATTTTCAAGCCACCAGGTCTGGGACTCAAACTCTGGTTGGCCCTGTGGAAATCCAGTGAAATAACCACTATGCCATCTGTTGGCCGAGACAGGACTCTTTATATTGCTCTTTCATATTATTTGTATTTGGATGGGCCTGATGATCCTAAAAGGATACATTTTAAAATAATAATTATATGTTATAAATACACAGAGGTAAGCTAGTATAATGGTTAAGAGCAATGACATTGTAATAAAGTGCATATAGGTTTGAATCCTAGTTCCTACAACTACTATGACCTTGGAGAAGACTTGCTTTCTAAGCCTGTCTCTTCAACTGTAAAACAGAATTTAAAAACTGTATATCTCAGGTCACCAGATGGTGTGGAGGTTAAGGCATTGGCTCCCACATGGTTGATTCTGTGGGTAGAGTCCCAGATCTAACAACAGCTTGAAAAACACATTGGGCACATGTGCATGCATGCCCAAAATCCCAAAAAGAGAATGGAGAAGAAGGGATTGTGGCTATCTTCCCTGGGGGGCATAATATCTCACTCTCAATATCTCACTCTCCTTCTCACTAAAGATCTTAAGTAATCTAAATATTTTCAATAGCAAGCACAGTTGTTATACACATATCCATGATCACATGTCTGACTTTAGGCATAAACCTCAGTGAGTAGAGTGAACAGACTTTAGGCATAAACCTCAGTGAGTAGAGTGAACATACTATAAAGTAGCACCTAGCTGGGGCTATATAGCTTACTGCGGTCATCAAATAGGTATTTTTTTTGTTTTTCTTTTTTTGAGAGGTTTTCGCTATAGGGCGTGTGCGCTCGCCAGACAGACAGAGAGAGACATAGAGACAGAAAGTGAGAAATCACCCCCCAGGGGGGATGGTCATGCCACAATCCCTTTTCCTCCATTCTCCTCTCGGGATCTTGGGCACGCACACACACATGCCCGGCGTGAGTTCGAAGCCACCGGGTCCGGGATGTGAACTGCGGTTGACTACGTGGGAATCCAGTGACATAGCCATTACGCTAACTGCTGGTTCCCTCAAATAGGTATTTTTAATGCATTTTTTTAATTTCAAGAAAAACAGTTTTAGATTTTTCTCTAAATTTTTTTAATTGATTAAAATAGAAAAAAATACCTATCTAATAGAAATGTGTGAAGATTAAATAAAATATGAGCAAGATATTAAACACACTGTCGAGCATATTGTAAATTCTCAGTAAATGGCTGCTGTAATTGCAAAAACAATAAATTAAGTGAGCCTAGTGGCTCAGGTTTACTTTCAATTAAATCAGAATTTATCGTGTCCCTGTTAAGTATCTTACACTGTGCTACCTTTCTGTGGGTACTAAACAAATAAAATAAACTTCTTAAGTCCTCTAAAACAAAGGCTCTTTTTCACATATACATAACCCTGAGAAAAAGGGGGGACCTGAAAAATGTCCTCATTCTGAAAGGTGGGGCCAGCACCATCAACATTTCTGTAATCATCGTACAGATGAGAATGTGTGGAGGGAGGAAGATAAATATGTAGAGGTGGAGTTAGGCTTCACCAGACATTAATCAGGTCCTCCCACAGAAAGTAGCACCCAGTTTTCATAGCTATATAAAGGCCACTATACCAATCCATCATCACCCTGCAAGCTGCATCAGGCTCTATCCTGCTTGTTCCTTTGGTGAACCAGGTGAGAAAAAAAAAAATCATCCAGCTACATTTATGAATACTTGATGTTTTTTTTCTGTGGTAGAAATCCAGGAGTATGAACTAAGACAGTACACATATATTTTGTCTTTCTTTTCTTTCTTGTTTCTTTCTATCCTTTTCCTTTCTTTTTGTTTGCTTTTTTATTTAGTTTATTGTGGAGTCTTCTTGGAATAATATTTGCCTTTGACTTATGCAGAGTAACTATGCAAGTAGAAGTTTGCCTTCTTCCAGGTCATACCATATTCTCTTCCCAGTCTTATTTTTTTATGCCATCTTTTCTGAGCTATCTAACTCAAATAGGGAAAAGGGTGGCACTGCTGTAAAGAGTCTTTTTTATTAGTGTTGGTTTCCATAGTTTCTTTTTTTGTATTTTCTTTTTTCTCTTTCTTTTTTTTAAATTTAAATTTATTTATTTACATTCATTCACTGTACATCATTACAACACACAAAATGAGATTTTTCCATCCAGAATACATTGTACATTGGCTCAGTCAAGCACATCAACCCACGTGCTATCGTCAATAAATAAGTTTCCATTTCTTGTTTCCTGTATATTTTGCTTTTTTTCCCATCCTTGATTCCCTATCTCTTACCCTCTGCCATCTCCCACTCTCCTCCCACACTGTCTCTGGTATCCCATGGTTGCTTTCTATACCTTTTCTCCCACACTTTATTGATTCACTAAAGATCTTAATTAATCTAAATATTTTCAATAGCAAGTGCAGCTGATATATACATATCCATGAACACATGTCTGACTTTAGGCATAAACCTCAGTGAGAAGAATGAACATACTATTAAAGTAGCACCTATCTGGGGCTATATAGCTTACTGCAGTCATCAAATAGGTATTTTTAATGCATTTTTTTAATTTCAAGAAAAACAGTTTTAGATTTTTTTCCTGAAATTTTTTTTCAATTGATTAACTTACATTCATTCCCTAAGCAGTATCACAGCATACAAAATGTGATTTCCCATCCAGAATACACTGCATAGTGGCTTAATCATGCATGCTATCATCGATAATTTTCTAATTCTAGTTATATACATATATATATACACACACACATACACATATATGTATATATATAGCTAGTTATATATATATACATTAAATATGTGTGTGTGTGTGTGTGTGTGTATATATATATATATATA